TCTGACACAGACACATCCTGACCAGGAGAGCTCCAGGGATCCCCTCCAGCTAAAGAACCCGCCTCAGGACCTGCAGACAGTCCCTGCAAACAGTCAGACGCTCAGGACATGGAGGTTTTGCCTCTCCCAAACTGAGTTACCCACATCGAGTGGTGAAACAGCTTTTCAGAAACCTCTGCTGATCTCAAGTTGGGGGTTGGACCAAAATGTGGATGTTCTGCACCAAAGCGCTTTTGATGCATTTTCTGCCCTTTTCTGATGGTGCTCCCACCCTGCTTCAGCCTCTTCTCTGTGTTATGATCCACATCCCACTCCCCAAAAATTATTCAGGTACCTCGTTTCCACCAAGAGCTGGACAGGATCTCCCCGGGTGGGAAATGACCATCCCGGGTGGGAAGTGACCATCCCAAGTGGGAAATGTCCACCCCAATCTCCCTTCCTGCAGCTGCAGGATTTGCCAGTGGAAAATTGAGGCACAAGTGTAGCACATCCCTTTGCTTCTGCCCTGTCAATTCCTTGAAAATTAAATCTTCCCAAGTGCGTTCATTTCCCGTGCCAGGAAGGAAATGCCGCGCGTGTTCTCCTGCCCGGTCCGGAGAGGTCCCAATTACCTGCGTGGCTTCTCCAGTGTTTCACCCCAGGAATTGCTCTCGTGCCAGGGCAGCCTGGAAAGGAGCTGYTGGCATTTCCTGCAGGGGTGAAACAGCTCCAAAATTTCAATCCGCTCCCCCTGGTGCTGTGCAGGAGCACACCAAGGGTCCAGTCATCGACCCCAGGGCCGTTCTCAGCTCACCCGGGCCGACCCCTGTCCTGAGCAGCCYCAACATCCCCGAGGATGTCAGGCAGCAGCAGGGAACTGGCCCAGCAGGATCCTCCATCCTCTCATTAGGCAGCTCTCAGGATAATGCACCGAAATTCTCAGCTGAGAGCTGCAATTTCAGCCGGTGAAAGAATTCCTCCCAAAATTCCTCCCCGGTGCTCCTGCCAGGGTTCAGCCGCCCAAGGCTCTTCCTTACCTTGACCTCCCTCCCTTCCTCTTCCCCTCCCAGAAAATGGTTTCAGCTCAGCGAGGTCTCTTCCTGAGTCCCTGCCTCCCACTCAGCTCCGCCAGCCCAGCTCGGAGCAGTTTCTGCACCAGGCTCTTCCCTTCCACCTCAATCTTCTCTCCCTTGGGTTCATTCTGGGCTCCTTCTCCTTCCAGCACCCTCGGAGGGTCCCACAGCAGCTCCAAACTCTGCTGGGGGAGCCGAGCCGGGGGTTCTGCTCAAGGCCAGGATTGCAAGACCCTGCTGAATCTCAGCTGGACGCCGGGGGAGGCCGCAGGAGGGAAATTTTGGCTTGGGGTGCATCACACCCCGTCCCGGAGCCACCATCCCTCGTGCTGCCCCGTGCTCAGGCAGAGCTGCCCCTGACCCTTCTAATTAAAACATTAATGAAAATAACGCTACTGCTACTAAAAATGAATAAATAAAAGGAGAACTTCCCAAACCTGGAAGCGTCCAAGGACAGGCTGGACRGAGCTCTGGTTTAGGTGGACGTGTCCCTGTCCGTGGCGGGGGGAGGTGGCACCGGGTGATCTTTAAGGTCCTTCCCAACCCCAACCATTCTGTGGTGGCTTTGACAGAGTCACGAGCGGGTGACGGAGCCCCAGACATCCCAAACACCCTCCTCTCTCCCTCCTCACGTGCACATCCCAGAACAAACATCCCCATTTTCCCGACGTTTCCCCAATTTGTTCTGAACACCATTCCAGTGAAACAGCTGGGGTTTGGTTTCGGTTCTCGCACTGATTCAGCACCAACTGCTGCTGAGTCAGTCCCGGAGCATCTCCGTCCAGCAGATACGAGGCCGCATTTTTTGGCTCCCTCGCAAGGTTGTGGGGAGGACAAATTCATCYGAATTCATGAGAGCCCTTTGATTATCTCCGGGCTCAACCGTGACGAGGCAGAACAAAGGTGGTGATCAGCAGTAATGAGGCGAAATGCAAATTCCGGGCGACACATATGACCAAAAAATATGGGTTTGCATGGATAAACAGGGAAGCGAGAATGGTCGATGGCTGTCTCACTTCCAGGAGGGAGGATGGCCGCGAGTATAAAAGGGCTCCGGGCCCAGATCCCTTCATTCGCTCGTCTTCTCCTCCCTTCACCTCTCCTCACTCTCCAGCAGGGTAAGTGGGAACTCCTAACCCTTCTTTTGCCTCCCCAAAGGGAATTTTGGGTGTCTTAGAGAAGCATCCGAGGATGGCTGAGGAGCTGGGATGGGGGCTCAGGGTTGGGGTTTTATGAATCCTGCACGAGGAGTTACGGGGACAAGCTGGAAATGTTCAGGGAGGCTCCGGGAGTGTCAACAGGGCCGTGCAGGATGAGGGACTGGAGAACCTTCCAGAAAGGCCCAGAGTGAGGACTCAGTGCGAGGTTCCTCTTCCTGAGACATCAGGGATGGCTGGAATGAGCCACTGGGAAAAATCCAGCAGCGTTGGGGCCACGATCTACAAACCAGACACCCTTGGGTCCCCCTCCTTGAACCCCCAAATCAGAATGAACACGCAGAGCTCTGAATTAACCCCAAATTCCCAAAATTCCCACCCCACTGACCGCCTCTCTCTGCTCCTCCCAGCTCCACCCTTGAGATGCCCAACGGGTGTTGCGGCGGATGCTGTGGCAACAGCGGCCGGAATTACTCGGTGACCTGCATTAGCAGCCCCCGCTGCTGCAAGACCCCGATGTGCTGCAGCCCCATGCAGTGCTGCAGCCCCTGCTGCATGCCCATGCAGAGCTGCTGCATGCCCACCACCTGCTGCTACACCATCAGCAGCAACAACAACAACAACGGCTGCTGCGGTGGATGCTGTGGTGGCAACTGAGCGCTCCCGGCTCGCCCTGAGCTCGGCTACGGACGTGGACATGGAAAACGCGCTGAATGCTCCTCCTGCTGTGCTCAGACCCTGTAGAAATTCCCTTTTCTGCTGGTTTTTTTTGTGCCCCGAAGCCGCTGCCCAGCGCGTTTCTGGCCCGGCTCTTCCTTCCCCTCTCTCGGTGTGTGGGATGTTTAACGCTGTCTCGCTCTCCCTTCTCTTCCTTTAATCCTCAATTAGCGATGAATCAATAAAATCTGTAAGTTGTGATCCTGCAAGCTGCCGGGTTATGATTATTCATTTGTCTTTAAACGGTAGCTCCGGTCTGGGATGTCGTTAACGTTTGCCTAATTGATTATGGTAATTAATTTCGCATGTTTGTCATTCTGCCGATGACAACGCCCCGGTGGACCTGGTGAACTCCTCGGGCTGGGGGAAAATGGAACTTGCAGGTGTCAAAAATTGTCACCTCAGCAAGGGGAGCTTCGATTTAATTCCATCATTCTCCCTCTGGTTTGAAGATCGAGTTTGCAACCAAAGCATCTCCGTGATCCCAAAGCCAAAGCTGAAGAGCTTTTTCTTTTTTTTTTCCTGATGGGAATCCTCCCAGAGAATTTGCTGAGTTTTAAAGGASGGTTCTAAAAAGGATTAAATAGAGCAGCGAGGTCTGCTCGGAGGGAGGGAATCACCGGAATTTTTGAGGCCATGGAATCACAGGATTGTTCAGGTTGGAAGGGACCTTAAAGCT